TATATATATATATATATATTTATTTATTTATTTATTTATAAATATTTATTTATTTATATGTGTGTGTGTGAAGAACAAATGCAAAATGATTGCCTAGATTAGAGGATAGAATATGAAAAGTGAACTCATTACCACCACAGGCAGGGTACATCGTTGTTTTCTTTTAATTCCACTTTACATCCCAAAAGTACTTTGTAATTACCTGGTCAAGGGTGCAAGCTCTTAAAATGTTGTGGTTATAAAAAAAAGTTCTTGCATTGAAATTGTGAGTGTGGACAAGTATGTTTGTCAAAGCTCTTATGACTGATGCACCTTATATTTTTCATCTTGAACATGGTTTTCATAAGTGTAATTGATGGACAAATGCTGTCTTTCAGTTGGAAAAACTGAGCCTGGTCGTATGGTTTTCTCTTCGGTTTGCCTATGATGATAGGGTCAGGCAGTGGTGCTCATTCAGCCTCCTAAAGTCAGAGCATTGACTGTTAAATGCTTACAATCTATTTTAGGGTTTTTTATATGGTGCAGTCAAATTACACAAGGCTTTCTTTACCATCTCAGAGTTACTGGAGAAAAACTTTTTTTTTTTCTCTATTTATTTCAATGACAGATAGAAATGTTACTTCATGGAGTTTTTTTTTTATTTTATATAATGGAGTGTAGTTAGCTTGGTAATTTCTTTTTTGATAAGTCACATCTTTAATATCTTTATTGAACTACAGAAACACACACATCTCAGATACAGTTCAGCAGTGGCATTATGCAGTCATCTGTTTTTCTTGGTAATAGTTATGGTCATTACTGTAAAAGCATGAACTGTTAAGAGTACTTACTAATTCTCTGAATTACTTTGTAGGTACATCCATTTACTTCCCACAACAAAAGTGAAGTTAACAGTGTCACAATTATGAAGTTGCATTTTTGCTCTTTGCAAAATATAGTTAAGACATAGTCTTTATGTGTCTCTTGGCCTAGAGTCTGTGGTGACTTTGAAATTGGTCTTCTCATTTTGTATGATCTTAAACAATGAATAGTAACCTAACAGTGCAGTTGTTCAAACAATGAAAAAACAATGAATGAAACAGCAACAAGTACTGTAATTACAAAAGAAATGTAGAGGCAGTTGTTTAAATAATGTGAAAGTGCTCTAGTTTGTCATTCTTTCAGGCTTTACCATGGATTTATGCTTTTTCAACAAGCTTTTGCTCACACAAATGCATCTACCGTAGTCCTTCACTACTTTGCGGTTTGTTTTTTGTGGACTTGTGCTATCGCAGTTTTTTCAAAATAAGATTGGACGTGACACAATATTGACTGATGGATGAGCCGCACGATCGGCATTGAATTTTTATTTTAAACTAATAATTTTATATTATTTAGCCCCTGCTGCACCTGTCTGCAGCTCATACTGCAGGAGAAACTTCCTCCTGCAGTGCCTCCTTCCTCCTCTGTCGATCTCCTTTGTGCAGCGGAGAAGTGGGCATGGCCGAGAGTGCAGAATGCAGCCATGACAGAGAGATGAGTTCATAACATGCAGTGCTCTTTCAGAGCATTTAGAGTTTAGAAACATTGAAAGGCCCCCGTCCGGGATTTGATTCGACAACCTTCTCGCCAAGATGTGGCAGCTCTACCAACTGCGCTACCATTCCACCCTGCAGAATTATTTCATACTTTATAATGCAATTAAAAATAGATAAAATGTAAATAATTTAACTCATACAATTCTCAAATAGAAGAGAATTGAATGAGTTTTAATGGCATTTCACCAGGAGTACAACATAACTGAGATGGTTATGGTTGTAATCAGCAAGCAGATAAAGTCAAATGAAAAAAAAAATATATATTTTTTATATATAGATAAAGACATTTGGAACAAAATGTATTGGTCTATTTTATTTTTTCTCCCTTACTTTTACTTTATTTTCTTCATGTAACACACACATGCACACATGCACACTGAAATCAGTGCTCTTTTGGATTGATTGGGATCGGTGGTGGTCTGGATCCAGCAAAGTGAGATAGAATTTAAATTGGATGTTAAATAAGCATTACTCTACCTGATTGTCTGGCCAGCCCAAGAAAGTAAGCAAGCACTGAGGCAGAGCTTGCTCCTCCCTCTCCTGGAGATCTGTGAAATTGGGGTGAGATTGAATTAAAGCATGAACAATTAGAGATGTGCTGGTGGTGCCGCTTACCTTGAATAATTTCTTCTGCGCTACGAGAGGCTATCATGGCCATAAATCATGATATGAAATATACAGCGAATAAATATTTCACCCAAAAGTATGTGAGAGAAACTAGTGATGCATAGGAGAAAAATATATTTTAATCTATAATTCATATCTATAACGTTGAATAAAATTCTACTCTTTCACATTTTGAAAAGTCTTTTGGTAGAAATCTGCTATAATATTCCAAATTACCTTTTTATGACAAGAAGAATTGTATTTTCATTACCAATGAAAAGGCAATTTATTTCCCATACAGTGAGAAAAAGGGTGACTATTATCCTGAACGGCAATCTTATTGCAGCAGAAAGGACAAACTGAGCACAGTCTCAAGTGTGCTGTTTTTATTGTTTTTAAATATTGTTTTTTTGAATCAGTATTTTTTTGCCAGCTTGTGGATGGATAAAGAAGGTCACAGATACTAACATACTAAACAATTGGGTTGAATTTCCCTTTCAATAAAGTTCTATCTTATCTTATCTGTCTATTTGTATTCACAATTCTATAAATGTAAGGATTTATAATATTTTTTTCTGTTGATATAGAGATAAGTCCTCGGCATGGCATAGCCAAGTTCAGTCTAAGACTCCAGAGGAAAAAAATACTCAACAGTTCTACTGGACACAGTCCACTTGGCTCAGAAGTAACCCCCATCCTGCTTCCCCTTTGTGAGGTTTATTCCCATGGAAACTTTTTCCAAGCCAAGACTGGTGTTTTTGCGTAATTTGTGTCAGTGAAGGCTTGTTTTCTGTTGTTGTTTTTCTTAAATCTTTTGGCCAATAAAAAGTTGCATTTCTTCTGCCTGATTTACATTTCAAGAGCCCTTGTCTCCTGCAGCATGGAAGAATCCTCTAAAATGGCTCAATCCAAGGAATCTCCCTTCTGCCAGGCCTCTCACTAGAGGAGTAAATGTTGGCTGGTCTGTCTGTTCCTTTAGACTGCCTGCATAGATCACTGTATGGTCTATTCTACATCTCTGAACATGTTTTTGGTATTTAATTCAATGTAAAAATGTTTTATGCAGTCTTTTTAATGTATGCTTTACTTTTCACCTAAGCACGATGCTGAATGATGTTTTGGTCTTAGTGTAAGTCAGCTATCTATCCATCAATTATCTTTCATTTGATCCGAAGCCAGATTGTGGTGGCAGCAGCTTGAGGAAAAGGCCCAGACATCTCTCTCCACAGTCACCTCTTCCAGCTCTTCTGGGAGGACCCCAAGATATTCTCAGGCTAACCAATAGACGTAGTCTCTTCATTGTGCCTGGGGTCTCCTCCCAGTCAGACATGCCTGAAGCACCTCCCTTGGGAGGCACCCACAGAGCATCCTTACCAGATGCCTGAACCACCTCAACCGGCTCCTTTCGATGTGGATGAGCAGCGGCTCTACTCAGTCTTTCCCGGATAACTGAACTTCTCACTCTATCTCCAAGGGAGAGTCCAGCTACCCTGCAGAGGAAACTCATTTCCAACCGCCTGTATCTGTGATATAATTTTTTCGGTCACTACCCAAAGTTTTGTAGGCGTAGGTGGGGGTAAAAACATAGAGCGACCAGTAAACAGAGAGCTTTGCCTTACAGTTCAGCTCCCTCTTCACCACAGCGGACCGGCACAGAGTCCGCAATATTGCAGACGTTGCACCAATCCCCATTTAAAAAGCAGCCTTATCTGGAAATTTCTCTTAAGACTATTAGTTTTTGTGAGGTATATTTATAGTTATAATTTGTTCTTCATATGTTAACAAGAGAATTGCTTCTCACTGTCATGTTATTTTTTGTCCCTCTGTCTAGGGCAAGTATTGTGCAGAAGAAGATAATCTATTTCCAGGATGAAGGTGCACTCACAAAACGAATGTGTGAGAAAGGTAGGATTTGCCAATTGACATGGGCTCCGTGATTTATCATAAATTTCCATTTTCTTCAGACTCACTGTGTCACTCCCCACTGCCTCTTTTTTTTTTTTTTTGATTAACTTTGTTTGTCTTTATTCTGAATTTTGATTCCAGAACATTCCTTTTTGTTTTAATGTTTTATTGTGTGAATGTAATTGAATGACTATGATCTGCAGCTGCACATGCATCCTTCACATCTCCTTATTCAGAAAAGAAATCTCTGTGCTTATCATTTACTTTTTTGCGTTTCTTTCCCTGTATTTTATATTTTCTCCTTTCCACTCTCAATCCTGTGCAGAATCCCTGTATGGAGATGGCACAGATAAACTTCAGCCAGATTGTTGTGCCTGCGGGACAGCGAAGTATCGAGTCACCTTCTATGGAAACTGGTCAGAGAAGATTCATCCCAAAGACTATCCCCGTAAGCACAGCTGCTCTCCTAAGCTCTGGTGTAGTTTTATTTATATTAACACGTTTATCTTATAATGACCTAAGGGAAGTGATCTTTCTAACAAGCAGTGTTATGTTTTTAACATGAGGAGCTTGGCCTACAGTAATTTTTTTAAACTTAAATTGATATGCTTTTTAATTTTTATATGGCTGTAAATGCACATTAGTCATTTGGGGGACAATAATATATTTTTAATCAAACAAAATATGATATATTTAATGATTTTATTTTTGTCTTCTTCAAAATACAATTTAAAACATAATGCATTGCTGGCCCTGTCTTTGTATTGTGATCACACAAAAGCAGATTTAGGTGTTTTTTTTCTTTGCAAATGTCTCTCAGCAGTAATGTAGGTGATGTGTCATGTTAGGTTGGGTGAGATGTGCATTTAACCTTGAGCCACACTATCAGGATGTGAACAGACTCAAGTATTACACTGACACTCTTTTCTAAATCAGCCTCTTGGCAGTCAGATCAATACTGATTAGACTGTAATAAGATAAACCCTGAAACCAAAAAGAGACCTAATTCACTGTCTTGGGTGGGAGGCACTGATATGTGGCTTAGTCTCACCCTTACTGTACACATGCTTCATAGACAGATTTGCTCCAAAGATGAGTGTAAGCTCTGTGGTTTGTGCTTCATCTTGACGCTTGTGGTGCTACAGATTGATTTCTCCTTGCACAAAGTCATTTCCCAGATAACTAGTTATTATAACACTACACATATTGCTCTGGATAGTGGTGTTCACTGACTCACACTCATAGTAATTGTGTTTGTCCCTCTTTGTTCCCTTGACCTGACTTTGCATTTTTATTGCCAGCAGTACTAAGACACATTTTCTTTCTGATATAGGCAATTTTATCACATTATTCTTCTATTTTTAACACGTGTCCTTCATTTGTAGGACACTTTGGTGACACATATACTGAAACTGAATTTCTTTTTTTTTTTTTTTTTTAAACCACTGACAGGATAACCTTGACAGCTCTATTTTCTCCCTTTTGTCCCATTTTAATTGATGCACCAGTGCATGCCTGCATGCTTAGACATGGAAAGGATATTGAGACAGAAGATAGTGGCCTGGCTACCAGTGGCAGTTTCTGTAGGATCATCAAAAGGACGATCATACTGAAGTTACTCTGTTCCAAATCAACCAAAACACTGAGCTTAAGAGTGACAAAACATAAGCATAGGTGACCTTATTCTTACCAGCCAAGTTAATTCTTAATTAGTTAGATTGTTTCTTCCTATTCTTGACTTATACACATGACTGAATTTGAGTTTTTTTTATTTTTTAAATTGGGTAATTCTAACAACAAGTTCATCTGCGCTTCCTGCTTTGCGAACTCACTGCACATTACAAAGCACTAAAGGAGTCCTTGTTTAATACTCTAAATTTTATCTCATTTTAAACCTGAAAGTTCTCATAAGGATAAAAGTCAATGTCAACTTTGTTTCAAGTCCTTACTGATTTTTTTTCCTGTTTCTCAAACGCATGACTGCACTGTAAATTGTTTTTTTGTTGGACACTTTTACTGTCTTCTATGTGCTCTGTGTTTTATAAGAACACAATGCACACAATTCTGCCATGGTCAAGTGCAAGGACTAGACAAAAAAAAAAAAAAAAAGGTTTATAGAAAAACTTTGAAAGATATTCAAAAAGCCTGGAGAGCTATTGTCAATATCACCTTAAATTGGTACAAAAAAAAGGTTTCCTTAGAGGAAAAAACTACAGAAATCAAGAGTGGTTTAAAATAATGTTGGGTTTAACTTCATATTAATTTCAAATGAATTTTTTTATAAAAAAAAAAAAAGAAGATGTCAAGTATTTAGTTATTTATATCAAAGAATTGTACAGAGAAAAAAGTTACTGCTTTATGGAAAACTCCTGAGTACTGGTAATTTAATATGAATCACTTCTCTTTAACCGCTTCTTTGGGTTGCAGGGGTCACTGGTACCCATGTCCAGCAATCAGTATATGAGGGGCAGGGTACACCCTGGACAGGTCGCAAGTCCATCAGAGGGCCGTATTTAATCTCCCTTTTATTTAATGTAAAATGTAAATCAGTTGGCCATTGTTGCAGATCTCTGTCAGCTGGGAGTTTACATTCAGCATGAGTGTGAGAGTTCTAAATAAATCATTAGAATAAAATCGACAGCAATTCTGCACTTTTTTACTTTTCAAATGTTCTCTAGATGCATGTAATATGATACATATGTAGTTCTGAAGTTGAGTTTCATTTAACAAATATTTTAAGAAGAGGGTTTATTTTAATTATTCTCTCAAAAATGAAACGGGAAGAGCATTTACTTTTTTAACCATGACTGATTTGAGCAACCATCAGCATAATGTTTTGCCAGGTTAAAATACAGTAAAGGTTTAAATTATAATAAAATAAACAATAATAAGTGAAATTCCAAACCCAAACAAAAAATAATTTAATAAAAAAATCCACCATGGGATATAATGGGTATATTCGAGGTGGTAGCCATAAGACACTACTTGAAATTTGTACATTCAACCTGGGGTTCAGAAGCTTGTAAAAATGTATTTTTCATTTTTTAAATATATTATTAAAGCTTTACAGTAAATGCATCTGTATATCATACTAGTGAATACATCAGAATATTTTTAATTACTTCATGTAAAGTATTAGGAAGCAGGATGACATGAGAGTAGAGAGAATGATGAAATAATGTTAAACCACTGGGGACCAAAAGCATCCCGACATCTCAATTTCAGAGACTGTAGATTTAATGCACAATAGACATAAGAACCTCTTTAAATCTCTATATGAAGAGCTGTGCTCCATAACTTATGAGGAAAAGATGATGTGAGACTTGAGTCTCCACTGTCTGTCTCCGTGGTATAGTCATGTCACATTTGCTTAAAACTATTAATGCTGTGGAACATGTATGTCATAAGTATACAACATTTAATATTTACAAATTTGTGTCTCTTGCAAACCCCCCCCCCCATCCCCCCCCTAATTTTTCCCGAGTACAAGAAATATAATGTTTAGGTTATGAGAAAGCATGACACTGAAATGTACACTGACACTGAAATGTACACTATAGGAAATAACTTTTAGTCTGAAATTTTTGTTTCTTCTTTCGGCTTCTCCCTTCTTCAGGGGTCGCCACAGCGAACTGTCACATGAAAACTTTGCAATTATTTTTACGCCGGATGCCTTTCCTGACATAACCACAGACCACCAAGCTACCACAGCCCTCTGTGTGGAGCAGAGAGCTGCTATCTAGGGCACCCAGGGTAGCAGATGTTGGGGGATCTGAGCCTTGCTCAAGGGACCCAGAGTGGGGCAAATGAGGGTGGAGGCAGGTGTGGGTTATTCAACTATCCCTCCCACATTTTGATGTATTTGGTACTGGGAGATGAACCAGCGATCTTCCGATCACAGGCCCACCTTCTCTAGCCTCTGCGCCACCACTCCCCTAACTTTAGTCTTTTAAACTTTTAGTCTGAATTAAATTACATCCATCCATTTTCTTCCGCTTATCCGGAGTCAGGTCGTGGGGGTAGCAGCCTAAGTAGGGAGGCCCAGACTTCCCTCTCTACAGACGCTTAGGCCAGTTCTTCTGGAGGAATCCCAAGATGTTCCCAGGCCAGCCGAGAAACATAGTCCCTCCATCATGTCCTTGGTCTTCCTCTGGGTCTCCTCTCGGTGGGACGTGTCCGGAACACCTCACCAGTGAGGCGTCCAGGAGGCATCCTAGCTAGATGCCTAAGCCACCTCCGGTCAACGTGGAGAAGCAGCGGCTCTGCTCTGAGTCCCTCCTGGATGATCGAGCTTCTCACCCTGTCTCTAAGGGAGAGCCCAGACACCCTGCGGAGAAAACTCATTTCGGCGGCCTGTATCCGTGATCTCGTTTTTCCGGTCACAACCCAAAGCTCATGACCATAGATGAGGTTAGGAACCTGATTAAATTAAATTTTCATAAAATTTAATTAAATTAATTCAATTTCAAATAAATTTTCATTAAATTAAAATTAAATTGCATTTTTAGCAATAAATATGAAGAGGAGTTTGTTCTATCAGTGTAAAACAGGAAAAATAATCAAAACCAGCATTTCCAGTGCTCTTTCTCAAATGTTCTCTGCAACATAATAAATTAGTGATAATGTCATGAGAAAAAGTTGGAATAGGGCAGATAATATAGCTGCAATTTCTAACCCAAGCCTGGGCCTGGGTTGCAAACATACAAAATATTATGTACTTGATGGGCAGACTGGGTCGGTCTCAGGCCTTTGATGCGGTTTTACAAATCATACAAAGAAAACTAAATAAGAATGCACAATATAAAATTGTGTTAATCTACTTGTTGAGGAGGAGGCAGGTCCGACCATCTGGTTAAAAGAGGTAAAAAAAAAAAAAGTCCTTGTTAAGCTTCAAATGGATCACCTGATCACCGGCTGCACGCATCTCCGCACCCTGCAGTCATCTGCGGTGAAGGAAGTTGCTGCATCTACAAAAACAGAAGCGAGCAACACGTGCAATTAAAATGGCCTTTTTCTATATTTTTCCAAATAATTTTGCTCTAAAAATATTTTTGTTCATCTATATAATAGCCTATCTTTAGAGATGATTTTTTTAGGATATTCGTTTTGTATGTTAATATCCATTTGGTGAAACAAGAAATCTTATATCTTCCTTTCTTTGAAACATCTTTTTAAAACTATCTGTCAAACGGATTTGCTTACAAATGCAGCAAAAGCTACATATTTATTTATTTATTTATTTTTTCTGGGTTCGGGCCTGTAATTACCGTTATTTGGTCGGGTCCAGTCAGGTTTGGAAAACATGGCTACGGGCTGGGGACGGGTCGGGTCGGATTTATTAGGCCCGAATGCAACTGTAGCAGATAATGAGAGTTTTACTGTCTGCCTCTACAGGTCGTGCCAATCACTGGTCAGCTCTCATTGGAGCCTCCCACTCAAAGAGTTATGTGCTGTGGGAATACGGAGGCTCTGCCAGTGAAGGAGTTAAACAGATAGCTGAGCTGGGCTCCCCAGTCAAAATGGAGGAGGAAATCAGACAGAAGGTAAGGTGGTTTGTTGTAAAGAGGAGAATAATAGTTTACATAAAGACAAATCATGAAGTAGTGTTAAATGCAAATGATTGTTTTTGCTACATTTTTTTCCAACTGTAAAAACATTGTTAGCTTTCTTTTAGAGAAAGTCTACCTAAATAAACTTTTTTTTTTTTAGATATAACTAAAAAAAAATATGTCAGTATGCAATGAACAATCAACTACTTTATGTAGTTTTAGATTTTTGTAGTTTTTGTTCAAACTCAAAACTTATAGTAATTTTATGCAAATAACGTCTAGAAGAGGACATACATGTTAGTAAAGAAAACACACATTATTTAGTTTTATTTCACCTTGGAAATATAATAAATTATACCTGTAGATTAGGTTGAAATATATTCCTGAATATCAGTTAAATATTTTTATGGGTTTGACTCAAATCTGAGGTGGAAAATGAAACATTTTTAATATCCCTTGCCAATTCAGGTATTTATAGGTTGATTTCAAAAGTCTCCAGTAGTTGCCCCCCCCCCCCGATTTTTTATTTCTCCTTTTAATCTGTCTTATTGCGTTCACCTTCATTTTACATATTGTGTGGTAGTTTTTATATGGCTCTAGTCCTCCAACTAATGCATTCTTGGCCTCTCTACATTTTCTTACTTCCACAAATAGCTTGGCATATTTTTTCTTTCTTCCTTTCTCTTTATGGCTGTCTCACTTGGTCTTAAAATAACTCATGCTGGCAGAACAGATGGTCCTGCAGAGTTCTTATTGTTTGCTAATACTGGAATCCTAGAGATACAGCAGATAATGAGGCCAGAGTGTGAGCCATGGATTCTTTCATTCATTTTTGTTGTTCCTGTTAGTGCTGAGAATTAGACAAGTTGTATTTAATCTGAGAGGCAAGGAGGAAATGATTGCAGATGTACTTGACTAGTCTAGTAAAAGTGTTGGAAAACATAAATTGTAAGAATTATAAATAAATGCTGCTGTCTGTGCAGGTTACATGACACTTTATAGAAATTTACTCAAATAAAATTATTGCTTTTAAAAGGTAGTTTGAACTGTTCAAACGTGAAAGAAAACTGTTGGAATTAATTCTTCTTAATAGTTTCAAAATAATAGTATTCAGATTTCTTTTTAAGAGATTAAACAGGAAGGAATGACTTCTCTTATTTGACTAAAATCATCCATCCATCCATCCATTATCTTTACCCGTTTATTCCATTTTGGGTCATGGGGGTCGCTGGTGCCCATGTCCAGCAATCACTGTGCGAGGGGCGGGGTACACCCTGGACGGGTCGCAAGTCCATCACAGGGCCACATAGAGACAAACGAGACAAACAACCATTCACACTCTCATTCACACCTAGGGACAATTTAGAGTTACCAATCAGCCTAACATGCATGTTTTTGGTCTGTGGGAGGAAACCGGAGTACCCGGAGAAAACCCACACATGCACGGAGAGAACATGCAAACTCCACCCAGAAGGCCCCTGGACCGGGGTTTGAACCAGGGACCTGTTCGCTGAGAGGCAGCAGCTCTACCAGTTGTGCCACCGTGCTGCCCGACTAAAATCATATTGTCAGTAAAAAAAAAATTAAAAAAATTAACATATGACCAGCAACAGATTACTCTGTAGTCAAGTGAAAATAGCTCACATGTGAAAACAAGGTAGCGATTATAAATGTATTGAGTATAATCTATAATAATCTAAGACATTCTTAACTCAGCTGGATCTTGTTTTGTGGGCTGCATAGTGGTGAAGTGCTTAACGTTGTTGATTTAAAAGGAAGAATGGCACTTTTTCAATTTGTGACCATGCAGGCATTAATTTGGCGACTTTGCATGGTGTCCCCGTGAATGTGCATGCAGGTTTTCTTAGAATTTTCTCCTGATATTCCAGCTTCCTTTCACAGTCCAAAAGGCTGCATAATTATTTCCCATTCTAAGCTGACTGAGTGTGAGTGTGCATGTGTTTCTGTGTTATATTCTTCAGTACTCTGACAGCTGTTTAAGCTTGAATGGGTTTCTGGTCTTTAGTTCTCTTCATAGATTCAGGATAGGATACTGATTTGGACTCAGGGTAGGAAGTTCCAAAATGTCAGCATTGATCATAGTAAAAAAAAGTAAAAAATCAAGTGCCTTTGATATATAGGTCAGATCTTTCTCTTGTTATAAGGTCTGTCGGTTGGATAGGATATTGCAAAGGGTTTCAGTCTGGGTGCAGTTTTCTTTGTCTAAGTATAAAAGTCAAACTTCATACATGTGGCTCTGGCTTGTGAGGGAAAAACTTCCAAATAAACTCAGGACATTGCTAGTCTTTATGAATTCAGACAAAAGAAGACATCTTTGCAAAGATAGGCCACAACACAAGGAAACTTTTCTGTGAGGTCAAATTAGGTAAAGAAAAACATCTGTTATCAATTTATGGTTAAAAAAAAACAAAGATAGTTATATCATGTGTGGGACAATAATAAGAGAAACCTTTCATGCAACTAGCAAAGAACACAAAGCTGTTGCAGAATGTCTGCATGGTCAAATAGTCCATCCATCCATCCATCCATCCATCCATCCATCCATCCATCCATCC